TTAAGCACCTAAGTAAGGGAATTTTTGAAGCAATTAGAGGTCTTGTGAGCACAAGTTCCAGCTCCTAAATCAAGAGTGTACCCTTGACTGGACCACTTCTTCTCCCTTGATTTCCTGTTAGAAAGTGGTATTGGGTATAGAGTATAGGCTATGTGCTCATCCATTTAGTGTTTAAGATTCTGTCATTCTTATGGAAAGGATGTCAGTAAGCCATGTTTCATTACGATAAGTATTTAAGATGTGAAACTTCTTAAAGAGCTAAAAATCTCTATAACACCTGAAATTCTACTGACAATTAAGACACTAAAAACAGGTACAAAATGTTAGTGACTAGAAAATGAAAATAAAATAGAAATGGAAATAAAATAAAGAACAAGCAAACAAAAGTCAAGATTTAAATTTAAAAACTGAACTAGAAAAAATCATTTTTTTAAAATAAGTCTTTGTATCTACCTTCATTAAGGAAGCATGTCTGCTCTGGCTTTCATGAAAAAAGTCCAAAGTTCATAGCAATACAAAGACTTAGTGAAGAATTATAAGATGAATTTTCACTCCATTTTTACTAAAAAGTAACAGGCTGCTCTCTAAGCGTCACTAAATTCAATATGTTATGTACAGTGGCAGAGATGTAGCAGGGCAGATCTGCATCCTAGGCAGCTGCCAGTGCGTGAGGTAGCACCAGGTTCCTATGATGCCAACTGCAGTGATACAGTCGGCTGCTGATGCGGCAGCAGCTGCGTTTGCACCTCCCACAAATATGTCCCCTCAGTCATACTACTACACAGTAGCTCCTTAGAACAGTAACATTCAGAACAAGGCAAACTTTGTTGAAGTCTTTACTCTGCCTCTTATCACATGACCAGGACTTTAAATCCTAAAATGGAGGAAGTGCTTTAACTTTAAAATACGGAGAATTTTCTCTTTACTGCATTTTGAAGCACCAAGCTCTTACCTAACTTTGTCACAAACTTTATTTACAAGGAATCAATAGATTTAATTAACAATTAATGCTCTGAATTATTTGCAACACAAACACTGCAACTATGTTCTGACTGTAGAGATCCAGAATATGAAATTCATTACAAGTGAAAATGATCTGTCCCTAAAGCTTTAAATAAAGTATTTATCTAATTTTGCCATGAACTTTAAGGTACTTCTGTCCTGCAAGCATAACTGTGATAGGAGCATGTTGGAACATACATGAGCTAGACATAATCTAATTTACTTTGGTACTGGTAGCACTGATGCTGATTAGTATTGGCTTCAGCTGCCAAGTATCTACCCAGGATCCCTGACAGGTTTGCTGCACAGCTCTGTGCTAATGTGTGTGCTGCCTTAGCTATTGGTACTTGAGCTAATTAGATTAAAGTTAGCTTGGTTTTATGTATGTGTGTAGCAATCAAACCTTCTCATGGCAGTGTAGACATAACCTTCATTATGACATTTTTAAAAAACCAGTTAATTAACAAATATTTCCACGTTCCTTTAAAATGTTCGTAACACTGCAGCTTTGGACTAAGTCAGGAAGTCTAGAAAATGCAAGTGAAAGTGATTGGTGTAAGACATTTTTCAAGCCAAGGAAAACAGAAACATAAACAAGTGGCAAAGAATAAATTTAAAAGTTGAACTGCTATTTTTAACAACCTGCAAGATTACTACTAAAATAAATGTAATTTTAAAATTAAAGTTTCCTTAAAGTCTCACCATCAGATTAAACACACTTATCATAACATACTGTGTATAAATATGAAGACTCTTACACAGCTCTGCACAGATACAGGGAATTATTTTTTTCACTAAGGCACACACAGTACTGAATACATTTGAATACAGTTTTACTTTTGTTTTTTAAAGAAACATTTGTGAAAGGAACCGTTGTTAATCTAGTGAGTGTTAAGTGTTTCAGAACTAGTTTCTGAAGAGGTATATGAAAATAAGCATGAAGTAACATAAGAAATATTTGTTTCATTTGGATACAGTTCTAATCACGCTGTTCCTTATTGAAATTACAACAGCTTTTGGCACGTAGACCATGATGGTGATTTACTTTTAACTATACAGATGTTACTGTTCCACTTTGTCATTGCAACATCCTAAATAAGCTTTTTTGAACATGTATGCAAGCATGCATGCATGCTTGCATGCACTGCGTGTGTGCGCGCGCACACACACACACACACGCTCAACATTCCATAACAGGAACCATTTTGTTACAATCTGCTTTGGTAGAAATTAATATATTGGTTCAATATACTGGACATTAAACTTAAAAAAAAACTAAATAAATTAATTATTAAATACATTTTAAAAATACCCAGATGCCTGTATCTACTGGAGAGCCTGGTTTAATTCTAAAAGCTGAGATTTACTTCAGAAGTTTAGAATAAAAGCAGTTTTCCATTTACTCTATTGGACAAGGGAGTTTCTTTTACAAGAATCTGTGGGAGAATGAGCATTTTCAGCGCGAAGTAAAGACAGGCAGTTTCCCTAGAATTCCAACAAGTTGGTGGTAGAGTAAAATCTCTGTTATCTGACATCCCCAGGGTAAGGGGATTGCCAGTTATTGTAAAAATTCCAGTTATCTGAAATAACCCGGCAGGGGTTTTCAGACCATGCGGAGTCGGGGGGGGGG